TTTCTGTATTGGTAGTTATTAATAATGAAGATGGCATGGAAAATAACCAACAGCTAATCTTTCTTATTTGATCACTGCTAGAAACAGAGCAAGTGGTCTTAGCTTTGTCTCATTTTAATGGTGCTGGTAAGCTAATAAATCAGTAGAGTGTTGCTGATATTGTTGCTATATTTGGATAATGGTACCTCAGCAAGATTTTGCATTGTTTAAAACAGGATTCTGCTTAACAGGGTCCTGCTTTCTACATGCAAAGAGAAAAATGCCTGAGGTTGCCTAAACAAGAGTAATTGTATGCTTCTCATATGCAGTTCAAAAAAATCAGCAGCAGGTTTGAATAATATCTCTCATGTTAAAAGTAGTTTTGAATATTTAACCTACAATTCATTACGGAATTGATGCTAAGACAAGAACAGACCTAAAGGGAATGGTATTGTGTGATGGCCCATCTGAAAATGCATTGTGTGATGGCCCATCATTATGTTACTTTATAAGGTTTGCTGATTAATTCATTTTTTTCACAAAAGAATACAGTATTCATTTTTCTTTTGTGGCCCTTTGCACACTACTGCCTGGTAGGTATTACCCTTATCACCCCAATGAAATTCATGGCTGTATAGATTTCCAAAGCTGGCTTTTTCTTTCAGTCTTCCTCTCTTTTAACTTGTCTCTGCTTGCTCATTTATCAGCTTCACTAGTTGATAACAGCCCATCTGCTTCTCTGGAACTACTTAGTGCTGCTACCAGGGAGCAGCACTTCCACCTTGAAGTACCTTCATAGGAGGAAAGATATCAGAGGGTCTTCACAGGCAAAATCAGGAACTTGGCTGACCAGGATGACTCAAGTAAATAAACAGTAAGGCTGGTGGTTTTCTATTGAACTGCCATGTGGCATATTCCAGAGAGACAAAGGGACAGAGAAAAGCTGTTCAATGAGAACAGTAAAAGGAAGACAGGAGGAAGGATGTGTTCACATAGTCCATTTCTTCTGCCAGCACAGCAGTCTGTTTCTCTTCAGTGGCTGTGCTCATGTGGTTTGCTTCCCCAAAAAAAATCACCTACTAAAACGTTCAGCAAAGGCAGAAAAAAAGCTCCCCAACTCAGCTGACTCTTAACCCAAGTTTGCAAAAATTTTAAAATTAATTCTACTTTGATTAAAGGCTTCTAATTTAATATGCTATTTGACTAGTATGGAACTAGTCCTCAGAATCACATAGACTTTAATTTTAAAGGGCCAGTCTCTAAGAGAAGGAAAAAATGCCACCTATTTTTGTAATTAATAAAAATATAAGTCTGCAGTAGAATTATTGTTATGGAGGGAGAAATGCATTTGACAAAGCAATAAACTTGGATGCTGAAGTAAGGTTGGTATGTTCTCTATGAATGTCAGTTCCTGTGAGCTATCAGATGCAATAAAGGATAAAATTCTGTTCGATCTATATTCACACTGTCTAATATCATATGACAAGTGGCATTGAAAGCCACAAGACGTATCTTGTAAGATACGTAAGGCCTAGTAATTTAATTTCAGTATTTTTGGATTAGTGATGGAAAGTTATGGATTAGAAGAGATATCAATGTATGTGAACATTTTAGCTAAATCAAGTACCAGACAGTATCCTCCTGAGATAAGAAGGCTGATAGAAGTTGAATTTAAGTTTCTTTTAAGTGCTGTGTAGCTAATATATTCTTTGTTTGTAGAAGTTTGTAAAACAACATTAAGCAGGCTTTGAACTGAAAAAAAAAAGTTGACAAAATAAGAATTACATTGAAACATTTGCTGTTGCAAATGAAAGGAACTTGCATATGAAAGGAACAGATTTAAACTGTTGCACTAGGCTTGATGCAAATAGTGTTATTTTAAAAAAGATAAATCAGGACTAAAATTCATCAGGTGAATCCATTCTGCTAACATACTTTCACAAATTAGGAAGCCGGAGGGGACCAGTATAATCATCTAGTCTGACCTCTTGCATACCATGTCATGTGACTTTTCTAAATTAATTCTCATTTCAGCTAGCACTTATCTTTTAGAAAGGCATTTTAACTGGATTTTAAAAGGTACAGCTAAAGTGGCTCCATTTAAAAAGCATTTCCTTAGTAGCAGAGTTTTGTACATGGTGAATATTTTCACTAAGTCAAGGTTCACTCATACTTTAAAACTTAATCTGTTTTCACAGGTATACTTATTTATACAATCAAGGATCACATGAAGCTTTCTGGCTACAGATTCATAGCATGAGCATGTGTGTTTAGTTGATTACACCTGATCTTTGGATCACTTGTCAACTTCTTCAAGGTCATTCATTGAATGATGAGTGTAACAGAACCAAGAACTTGACAGTAGGAATGCACAGGCTCAGAGATGATTCTTCATCTACCATTTCATTCTGAGATTCATTAGCTAGCCCATTTTTAATTTCCATGATATGTGCTAGATTGATTTTTTTAGTAGCTTGCTCCCTAATCAGAATATGCTATATGAATCAAAGTGAACGTCTTACAGTACTCTAGGAATACCAAATTTATGCATCTTATTAATCTGCATAATCAATTATTTGTGTCTTTATCAATCAAATTTGTAATCTCGTTGAAAAAAAAGAGCCTTAAGACATAATTTTCATAAATTCATGTTGTTTCCGAACATTTATACCCTTTTAATTCAATTCCCTAATATTTGTAGAATCGTAGAATGGTTGGAAGGGACTTTAAAGAATATCTAGTTCCTACAACCCTGCTATAGGCAAGGAACCAGCCATCAGACCAGGTTGCTCAAAGCCCCATTCAACCTGGCCTTGAAGACTTCCAGGGATGGGGCACCCTCAGTTCTCTGGGCAACCTGTTCCAGTGTGTCATCACCCTAATAGTAAAGATTTTCTTCCTAATATCTAATCTAAACCTACTCTGTTTCAGTTTAAATCCATCCTTCCCCTCCCCCCATCCTATCACTACATACTCTTGTAAGAAGTCCATCTCCATCCTTTCTGCAGGCTTCCTTCAGGTACTGGAAGGCCACAATTAGGTCACCTGTAAGCCATCTCTTTTCCAGGCTGAGCAATCCCAATTCTCTCAGCCTTTCCTCATAGAAGAGGTGCTCCATCCCTCTAATCATCTTGGTGGCCTTCCTCTGGACTTGCTCCAGCAAGTCAATGTCCTTCCTGTGCTGGGGGCTCCAGAGCTGGATGCAGCACTCCAGGTGGGGTTACTATTGGTGAAGGAGGAAGAAAAAAGTACTCTGTGTCGAAAAAGACATTACCTGTTTCAGACATTATGGCAACTTGGAAGCAAATACTGGAATGACAAACATTTTAGCACATGAAACAAGCTGAAGTATGAGTGGGGTGTCTGTTACTGATTACCAAATGGTCATTCTCTAAGTCTCTTCACCACTAGAAAAGACCATGGCAAGATACCTTTAAATAGGTATCTTTTTATGTACCAGGTAGATCTGCATTCCCACATTGTCAGGAGAGTTCAAATCACCTCTCAAAATTCATACCTCAACTTAAATGTTTTCACTAGTTGCAGATCTTTGTTTCTTTAATCTTTGTTTATGATGTTTTCAACCTCCACCTTTCTAATTTATGTAAGACAGATGCTGATCTTACTTGTATATCCAAGTATATCTCACTCTTTAACATATTTAGACTAAAAGGTTTACTCAAATTCCCTGTGGAATAGGAAAGAAATTTTTTCTTTGTTTTACAGTGAAAAGAAAAAGTAGCAGGTATTCCAGGTGTAGGTATGCTGCATTGAACTTTGAAGGTGATAGAGAAGGTTGCACACTGATAAAGAACAATTGAGGAGCCTAAAGTACTGTCTAGAGCTAAGCACTCTAAGCACAGTGTTAATGGATACCTGCCTCTCTATTATGCTTATGTGTTGGAAGCAGAATTCCATCACAATAGTCCCACCATTCCTATGGAGGTGCAGACTCTGCACTGAAATGCTTAACTGAGTGAGGTGTAACATTTCACAATAGAAACGGTGCTTATATCAGACTCATTAAATTATTCAGATAGCAAGTGAACAGATTACCTAAATAAGAAGGGATTATATCAGTCACGGAGGGACAAGTCTAAACCTATTCCTTCTCTATCAGGAACTGTACAATGGGCAAAGTATGAAAATATTCAAGAAGCAATGACCAGAACCCAGAAATCCTATCACACTGTTTAACTAGCACTTCTGGGTTCTCTTGAACTGCTTTCTGCCAGCTCAGCCCACTTCAGAGATCCAAAACTGGACGTTAGAAACAATCTCAGTGCACTGAGCCTGCATGCTAAAATCAAACCTAAAGTGAGATCTCACAATCTTCAAATCCAATGAAACCCTGCACTTGTTTGTTCAGCACCCTTAGGGATTTTCTCAGCAGGGTTAATTCCTGTTTTAGCCTCATACCAAGCCCAGCTTCCAAAGTGGCACAGAGAGAGCCTCATTATCCACTTTTTTTAAAGGGTCCTTTAACTCTGTGTTTCCTTTCACGACTGCCTTCCACAGCCTTTAATTTACAAATACCTTGAATATATCTGGAATCTAATGTAGAAAGGTCTAAAGTGAAGTGCTTGTGCAAGAGAGGGTGAGAAACCGAGGAGAAGGAGTCAGAAGAGGATGGACAAGCTGGGAGTAGGGTTGAGGGGGAGAGATGTGGGACTGGGGATGGGTTGGGCGGGAGGGTGTGCGGAGATTCGGGTGTGGGGGGGAATGCATGTGCATGGTTTGGGGAACAAAAATCGGCGGCGTCTGAAACGGACGTGACTTTTCCAGCCGAGTCAGGTGAGGCACCTGACGCATGCAACCTACCCTGACCAGCTTTTTACCTGACCGGGCGGGGGTGCAACCTCCTCCGCGGAGGCTGCACTCCCTGGCCGGTGGGGGAAAAGGCTCGTCAGGGAGGGTTGCGGACCGACGCGGATCCCCAGCCTGTTCCCGCATTGGTTCCCGTAAGTTCCCGCGTCATTTTTCTCCCCACACCCCGCTTTTCGCACTGGCAACCACAAGCCTCGATGGACGGGCGGGAGAAAGCTCAGATGCTCTGAGAGGGTCTGGGTTTGTGTTTGTCGTTTTTTTCTCCCTAGCTCCTGGAATAACCACCAGGGATGTCTGGAATTCAACCCGAGGGTGGTTCCCCTCCGTGCAGGAACTGGACGAGCGGGTCGGAACTAAACGAAACGCGGGAGGCTCTTTTAACCCCTTCCTCCGACTACGATGATGAGGAGTTCCTGCGATACCTCTGGAAGGAGTATTTGCACCCCAAGGAATACGAATGGGCGCTGATCGCTGGCTACATCGTCGTCTTCATAGTGGCTCTCGTCGGTAACGTCCTAGGTGAGTCGAGCTCCCTCAAACTTCGCTTTCCCCCTTCCCGAGATGGGTTTTCCACGGACGGTGGTTGGAAACAGGGGTGGGTTTCGCATTCCCCGCTGAAAATGCCAGGGAAAGTTCAGGCTCCGCAGAAGGGGCCCTAAAACCCGCTACCCCCGGGCTGGCGAGGGTCTGCGGCGGCTACCACTCGGGGCTGGGGCCGGGCAGGGGGAGCAGGGCCGGCGGAGCGCACCGGGGCGGCCCGGCGGGACAGAGCCGGCGGCTCCCGCCCCTGTCCGCCGGGCCGAGGTGCTGAACCCCGCCGCCCCGGCCGGCGGCTCCGCCTCTCGGCCCGCCCGGGAGGATGCTGCTCGGGGATCGCAGGGGATATGGAGCGCGTGGTGTTCCTACAGAACAGAGACGGGCGCGGGATGCGGGGCCCGGGACGGCGCCCGCCCCATGAGGGGAACCGGCGGTTCCCCCTCCGCTGCCGGCGGGCGGAGGACGCGCATCCCGTGCCTCTGCTCCAGCGGGGAAATAGGGCAGGGGCGAGGCGGCCCCTCCCGGGCGCTCCTTGAGGGAGCGAGGCGGGGCGGTGCATCCCTCGGAGCCAGCCTCCTCCCGCTTCCATTCATCCTTGAAGGAGGCGGCGTGGGCGCGGGGGGTGTTCGGTGGCAGTCTCGCAGGGAGCAAGGGTGCTGCTGGAGAGTGGCGGAAAGCCGGGGGCGAGGCAGGGAGGTCACGAGTGGACTGGGCGGCGGACAGCGGGAGGTTTACGGGAGCGGGCGGGGGCGGTATGTGGGAGCGGCAAGAGGGGTCTGGCCGTCGGCAGCCCGCCCGCCTCTCCTCTCCTCCGCTCCCCTGAGCCCGCTGCCGGAGTCGTTCTCTGGGCTGTCGAAAAAGGCGCTTGTGCTGGCACAGGGGAGCGTGTCCTCTCTCCCCGCAGCCTGGGAGGGTGGCCGGGGCAGCTGGGCAGGCGCTGCTCGTCACCAGCTCCACGTTCATGAATGGACTCGGTGTGGCTGCCGGGAGCAGGTTCCGCCGGCAGCCCCCGCTGGGCTCCGTTCACGGCCATTGGCATTCCCTGTGTTCATCCGTGATACTGCCATGAACGGAGGGCGCTGAGCCCCGCCCCGCCCCGCCTCATCATACGGGTCTTTCATTCATGTTTTTCAGAAGGATTTGTTCGTGTCAGGGCTGTCACTGCAAGCTTCCCGAGGCGGGATGCATATAAGACAGCAGCCAAAGGCAACATTTTGAAAGGCTTTTTTTCTTTCAATGGATTGATGCTGCCTTTTTCTTTCTTTTCTTTTCTTTTTTTTTTTTTTTTTTTTTTTTTAGCTTAGCGGTGCGCTAAATGCCTGTAAACATCCGCGTTTACTCGGTCCATTGCTTGGCAGACAGCTCGACAGGCACCGTAAAGATAAGAGCCCTGGCAAATATGCTGTATTTCAAACTAGGAAGAAAACTGCTCTTTTCATTTTGAGCAAAGACTGTTTTAGAACTACCTGTGCTTACCGGTTTGCTGCCACCCGTTCTGTAAACAAGCTGCCCTCTTGCCTGTAATGGTTCAAGGTCAAATCTTCAGCTGTAGGAGGTTTCACCCTATTTACACTTTTTCCCTTTGATACCACGAGAAGAAAAGCTTTCCTCTCTGTGCAGTGCCAAATAGAGATGATATCAGCGTTGATGTGCAGCTCTTCTTCCCTAGCATTTGTGTACATTACCTTTTTGCTTGGAACAGAAACTGGCATCTGGCTGTCCATCCACCATTCCTTTTACTGAAATGTCCACTTTTTGTTCTCTGAAATCTCTCTTTCCGAGTTATGGTACATGATAGCAACTCTGATAGTGTTTTTAAAATAAACAGAGCAGTACCTGAACACCTTTCTATCCACTCCTCTAAATCATACAATAGATAATTCAGTTTTACAGTTGGACTTAATGATCTTAAAGGTCTTTTCCAACCTAAATGATTTTATGATTCTTCTCAAGCTGTTTGCTCTTTAAACTGCCTTTATGCATGACATAGGCCTTACCCACATAAAACTGCTGGGTTTTTTTATGAGCAAGTTGTTTGTGGGATCTGCAGGTGCAAGAGCTTGTTAGCTGAACAGTCTCATCTTTATTCAAGAAAGCTCACACGGTACTGATTGCAGGCTCAGGTGATGCTGAGGAGAGAAATGGATGTGGTCTAATGCTCTTTCCAAAGAGATTTTTGTGAAACTCTTTTACTACCAGTGAAATCTGATGTAGAACAGCACACATGTTGGTGTCTCTGAGAAGCTGATTTCTCTTGCATGTTCAAAATTAATCTGGGATTTAGTCATGGGCCTTCTTGAAGAAGAGCAAAAGTGTTTCTAAAGAGAGTTTTAGTGGCTAATAGTCCTTTATAGTATCATCCTTAATGATGCATTGTGTTCCTTTGCTTATGTTTGACCAGTGTTGCAGGACTCATGTGGCATGTGAAGTCAATGCTTTGATTCTATTTTGTCCATGTCCTATTCAAATAGCACTTAAGCAATCAGGAAAGACCCTCCCCTTCCCTGTGTGGTACTGAAAATTATATTTCTGCCTCTTATTTTGGTTTGTGCACTCACATGGGATTAAAAGTGTCCCAAAAATAACATCTGTGCAAGTGGAAGGCACAGAAAATCCCTCAGATATTACTAATAAACTGAATTGAAGCATTCTGACAGTTAATTAACAACCGAGGGTAGAATCATAAGGTTGAACTATGATTGACATCTACTGGGCTCTTGAGTGAGATGCACAGTAGGAATTCTACTTATAGTGGCATATAACAAGGTCTGCGTTGCTATTTAGCTTTCAATTTAATTAGAAGAGTTGACACACACTGGCTGAGCTGCTGCACAAACCAGCTAAAGTAAAAACCATTAGCAAGTCTCTGCATTTGAATGCAAGTTTCAGTACTGCATTCAAGTGCTTCACGTTAATGATTCTCATGTGCCTGTGTTGTCTGCTCACCAGAGATTTCAGCATAAGCCACTGAGAAGAAAGAGATTTTGAAATGGTTTTAAGACGTATTTACATGAACCTTCAGAGAATATGAAATCTAGATGATAACATCAGTATGATTGCCTTATTTTCTTCTTCACTGGGTCAGTGTTTATCTTTAGAAGCAGAATAGGTGTTGAGGATAAGGACTTTCTCTTTTGTAAATAGGACCAGAAAATTTCTTTACAACTGCAGAGCAAATAAACTCTTGCAATTCTTTGCACAGCTAATGGAAAACATAGGACTTCTTAATGGAGAATGTATGTTGACTATAAAGTCCTGTTTCTTCTTTATTTAAAAACATTTAATTAAAAACTCTACTTGAAAATAGAAAAATAGATAATTAAGGAAGGAATGCTATTTTTATGGTGTACGGAGGTCTCTGGTTACTGATATCATTCCACACTGACCAATTGCAGCAGTTAATAACTGGAGTAAGACCACAAAGGATTAATAAGTAATGTACGACTACATATATTTAACTCCATTTATACATGTGAAAGAAGAATGGGAATGGTCCTTGTTGAAGTTATGAATTTACATGGGTCAGAATTTTTCTAATGAAATGGTTTATCTTAGGAAACATGCATTCATCAAAATAAAAATATACAGCAGAGATCACTTGGTTTGATCACAGACTGAAGGCAGAAAAAGCAATTTTGTGGCACCCCACCAGCTGGGCTGCTGGGCCTCTTGGCAGCCCTCCCCAGAGCTGGCAGAAGCTGAAATCTTTAGCACATACAGCCTGCCAGTGCCCAGCTTGAAAGCACTGCTGGCTTCCAAGGCTAAGAGACCAAGCAGAACATCAGTGAGAAATTTCAGAAACTTTCTGTACTCACACAATTTAGTGATACTTGGTTTTCTTTACAACTCAGAATGAAACCACATTTAATTGACAGAGAATTACTCTTTTCTGGATAGCTGTATCATTTATTATCTGTTTTACAGTAACTGCTAGTTGTGCTGAGATCCGTAGAGCACCAAACTATGGTTCTTTCTTCAAAGAGTTCATAGTCTGACTCAGAGAGTGCAACAGCATCCATTTTATTTTTATTCATTGTAGTTTGATTTTTTTTAGGGCTGGAGAAGAAAAGGGTTGTGTACAGCTCTAACACCAGAGTCCTAGTCAATGCCTATCAATCAGCAACTGTCTCGAATGCTGCTCTGTTATCATTTTAAAGGTATCCGGTGAATACTGAGGTCTAGGTATACATGCATGTGTTGGTAGAATTGGATGAGTCATGTAATCTCTTAAATAATCTTCATGAATCCTGTTTCATTGTTGTAAATGAGGCATAGTTTATTTAATCGCATTTGAAATTATTACATTTCATTTTATCCAGATTACTTGGAGAACCTGTCACTGAAAGGACTTTATGTTTCTAGTATCATCATGAGAGTCAACTTTATCTGTTGAATGAATAATAACTAGAATGCCTTTAGCATTGTTAAAAAGATACCACATGGGAAATGATACAACATGTATACATTTTATCTACCTAAGAGATAGAAACTATGAGCTTAATTTGTGTAAGTTCGAGTATCAGCTGAAATACATTGCTGTTTGCATAATATAGGGATTGCTCACCATTTTCAAAAATGAAAAAAAAAAGTGAAGTGTTTAGAATATTTCTTTGGTTTTAAAGCATTGTTTATTTTCTGTGTTGCATGTCAAGTGAAACCTTCTTTGTTTTTTTTGGACATTAGCAGCTGAGTTACTGTCTGTTGCACAAGTGGAATTTGTCAGAGAAGAACTACGATGGACTGTTCCCCAGGGTAAGGAGAACTAGGAGCTGAGGGCAGCAGCAAGATTGACAGGGCACTGTGCTCACCAATACAGTCTCACTGTGCCCAAGAGCTTGGTAGGTCTGGTAATGTTTACCACGTTTCAGTCACCTCCCAGCAATCACCAGACAAATCCATAGTGACGAAGCAGGTCTAAGGTTAAGCCAGAAAGTCAAGTCGACGGATAAGGATTACAGTCAACTTCAGCAAGGCACAAGTGT